TTTACTTGCAAGAGTGCAACAAAGCAAGCTATCTCCTTGCTCTAGCTCAGCTGGGAATATGCACATTGACAACTTTTGTTGTTTTAATGCTCTCCGTGTGTCTGTGAGGAGCCACAAAGGGATTGATTTGTGCTGACAAATGACATCAAGTGCACAGATTTGCAATTATAGAATGTATGAACAGTGAGGATGGGTTACAGTAAACCTTGGTGAGCCCAGGTTATGGTACTCCCACACCCTACAGGTCAAATGAAAAAGTACATAGTATGTTTCTGTGATGCCAAGTAACCGTGTAGACCAAGAAAAGTGCATTTTCTCTTTCTGCACCTCATCTGCCAAGCTCCAACCAGAGACACCAAGAAGTTTCCTGGCAAATACATCATCTTTTTCCTTGGAGCACAAACCAAAACCTACTCCTACTGGCTCAGGTAGCAAAGGAGGCTATTGCTGAGCACTGTGGTCCGTATCTTTATATGTACTCAGAAAGCAGGGGTAGGTGGATCTCTGTGAGCTCAGTGCCAGCCTGGTCCACATAGTGAATGCCAGGTCAGATGGGGCTCCTGCCCTAGGAAAGAAGGAGGTGGTGGCATTTAAATATATACAGGAAGTAACCTTTAGAGCACACTTAAGTGCCAGGGTCACAACCAGGCCACCATGAATGGAACTGACACAAAACAGAAGCAGTCCCACCTCTCATGGCTACACCCTCTGTCTTCCTCCTGAGCTTGGGAGATCTGCTGTGCTTTTCTGCTCCTCTCAGCAGACAGCCTTCCTCTGCTTTCTCTGGCTTTCCTGCACCTTCCTAACACTGGCTCTTAAAAAATACGTGGTTTTGACTTCCGCGGCACTGATTCAAGCCAGTCTCTACAAGGCCTGTACACTGCACACCTGTCATGCTGCTCTGTCTGTCACCGCTCTCATTTCTTGGAACAGATGAACTAAGAGCACCTCTGACTCCAGTGTGGGCTTCCAGCCAGCCTTGGTCCCTGGCTCTCCCCTGGAAGTCTGATCTGGTCTGGTTATCCTCTGTCACTTCTGTCATTGCTCTGTGTATCTTTCTGCTGCCCCATGGCTTTGTTTACTCAGAGCTCCTGTTTATTCGTGGCTTCTGCTTACTCATGAAGCCTGACTGCTGACTGCTGCTTCACTCATTTTCCTTTCTCCAGTTTAGATGCCTAAAAGAAAAATCTTTTTAGCACAGTTAATCACCACATATTTGGGTAGAACTTTCTTTCCAGGACATCTTCTAAGTTAGTGATCCACTGCCCCTAGATAAGGGTCTATCACTGACTCCAAAGCAGGGGGGAGAAGGGTAGAATTGGAAGAGTCAGAGGAGGTATGTAGTGTGTGGCCATATGTGTTTAAGGATTTCAACAAACTAATTACCCAAATCTCTCTTAAAAATATATTCTCTCTCTCTCTCTCTCTCTCTCTCTCTCTCTCTCTCTCTCTCTCTCTCTCTCTCTCTCTCTCTCACTCTCTCTCTCTCTCTCAAATCCTTCGCTCTTAAAAATATTTTTCTGTGTGTCTGTGTCTAGTCTGTGTGTATTTCTCTGTCTGTAGGTATCTGATAGAGAGAGAGAGGAGTGTAGGTCATAAAAGTAAGGGGACTACTGAGTGGGGGATGAAAACAGAGACCAATGGAATACATGTATGTGGTGGTTGGTTTAAATGTCAACTTGTCACACTTTAAAATCACCTGAGCAGAGAGCCACACGTGAAGAATTGTCTTCATTGCCTTATAATTGCTACAGGGAGACCCACCCAAAGCATAGACTGCACCTTCTGGTAGCAGCCCAGATAACAAAGAACACAGAGAAGAAGGATTATTAAGCTGTTAATGGCTTGCCCTTCCCTCTGCTGCTGCTGATTCTTTCGCTGGTGTTAGAAACAGCACTTCAGGTTTCTGCCATGGACTAAGGACCAGTGGCTGTCTGCCATGCCTCCAGGTGTTTGGTTCCAGATTGGGATTGCTGTTTCTCAGCCTTTCAGGAGTGAGACAACTGTTGTAACTTTTTTGAAGGCATTGTATAAGATAATGTAATAAATTCTTTCTCTTTCTCTTCCTTTAAAAATACTACCTGAGCCAGGCAGTGGTGGCACATGCCTTTATCCCAGAACTTGGGAGGTAGTGGCAGGCAAATCTGTGAGTTCGAGCCCAACCTGATCTACAAAGCCAGTTCCAGGACAGGCTCCAAAGCTACACAGAGAAACCCTGTCTCAAAAAACAAAACAAACAAACAAACAAAAAAGGTGATATAAAATCATAAGAAAGGCATAGTTTAGTGAGAGGTAGGGGCTAGTCAGAATGCTTCAGGAAGATGGAGAGTGGGAATGAACAAATGTATAATGACATGTTTGTGAAACACCACAAGGAAACCTACCACTCCAGATACTTTGTACTTTAAAGTGTAATTTTTTTTAAACCTGAGTTACATGGTATTTGTTACTCTTTTGCTTTAAGTTCACTAACCTCACATCTCAATCGTTTCACTATAATCAATAGTAAATTTAAAGGAGATGAGAAACTATCAAAACTAACCATTATGGTCTGCAGAGGTGGCTCAGTGGTCATGAGAACTGGCTGCTCTTCCAGAGGACCCACAGCTCACAACCATCTGTAACTCCAGTTCCAAGGGATCTGATGCCCTCTTCCTGGTCTCTTCAGGAGAACGTGGAACACTAACATGCAGGCTGCCAAAGCACCCATTCACAGAAAATAATTTTTAAATTTTAAATAAATAAATCGCTGCCTTTCAAACTAGGTGATAGATTGATAGACAGACAGATGCACAGTGCTGAGGATCACACTCGAGGTTTTAAGCTTGCTAACCAGCCCCTCAACCATGGGAAAACACTCCCAGCCCAAGGAAATAGCTTAAATATGCAAATTTGTCTGAGTGATTGTCCATATCCCACAAAAAAAAACATTAGAAGAAAAGATACTAGCCATAGCATTTTTAGCTTACTCATCTTCTCTTTTATTTTCTGTAGTGAACACACACTGTTTATGTAATTTCAAAGCACACCACACTTTAACACACGGTTTAGAACCCCATCTGTTGACTGAAAATCTGTAACCAATTCTCAAGTAATTTGTCATGTCAGCCCTCAACATTATAGAAACCAACAGCTCCCAAAGTAACCAGGCAGCTTTGGCTGTTAGAAATTCCAGCTGGTGAAAATGAAGGCCTCTAGTGCTGTGCCTCTGGGGTTAGGGACTCGCATTTAGTTCCTACATGGGTCAGTTATCTTGGCTTATTGACCGAGGGAAATGGTAAAGGTACACCACTCACCTGGCTCCCCGGAGCAAGCATTGTTAGGCATGTCCACAAGAGACACAAACACGGAAGGAGCAGGCAGTGAAAATCCAGCTCTGCTAAGCACTGCTCCTCACACTGGACAACGGCTCTCTCAAGTGGTCAGCAGGAAACAGATGTTAAAGCCATCCCTATAATCTTATCATTACAAGCCAGAAGTAAAAATGTAAAAGGCAATCCTGTTTACAATGGGAACTCCATTAGGTATTTTGGGGCCAATTTAGCAAGAACTATTAAGAAAACTCCAAAACCATATGACACACTGAAGGAACTCAGATTAGCAGGATAGCAATTTCTATACATTGACTGGGAAGACTAAGCAAATGGCATGACACATCCCATGTACACTCATATATTTAATGCTATTATGATTTGTATATGAAATGTCTCCACAGACTTTTATGTTCTGAATATTTATTTCTGAGCTGGTGGCACTATTCTGGGAGGTTGCAGATGCTTCAATAAGTGGAACCGACCCAGCTGAAGAAAGTAGGTCACAGTAAACTAAGTCTTCAAGAGTACCTTGTCCCTGGACCCTTTCTGGTCCCCTCTATGTCCTTGCTATCATGAACTACTCTGTTCTATCATGCCCCAGCTAGAAGCAACAAACTGTGAGCTAAGTAAGACAAGTCCTTTCTCTATGTTATATGTGTCAGGCAATTTGTCATAAAAAAATGAGGGAAGTAACCAATACAAACTGATTGATGAGACACTAAGAGTTTTATAATACAGAACAGCAAAACAATCACAAATTTTGCATCAGTAGAAATGTATTGTTAGTGTTATGCAACAAAGAAAAATATTTTTGTGAATGTCAAACCTTTGTGATATTCTAATGTAATTAAAAATTACCAAAAGTCTTAGTTCACTTGCCTGCTGCCATACTGGTTGCCTGGCAAAACATGAGACCCACTGGTGTGAATGTGTCATAAAGGCTCTGCATAAACTATCCACTTCCTGATTGGATGGAGGTCTGCTCTGTGGGAGGAAATTCCTGCTTGGCACTGTAGACACAGGCAAAAGCCTATGGCTAGGAGGTCACAGACCCTATGGAAGAATCTGCTACTGATGTTCGCTAAATGGATACGTAGGTAGACTTCTTTTCAAGTATTTACATTTATACCCAGGGTCCAGTGCAGTCTCAGCCTTAGTCAGAGAAGCCTCTTTTGCCATTGGCAGACAGTCAAAACAGGGACTTATAACTGGTCAAAAAAATCCTGTGAGTAAGTTGGATTCTCAGCCCTAAAGGGATATCACCCCCTCCAAGGCACAGGGCATATCACAGAAGGGGGTGTGGAAAGTCTGTGGGATGTGGAGGATTGGGGGTAGTGCTGTGACAGGATTCTGTTTATGCCTGGCCATTGCAATAATGAACACACAGCAGCTGTGACCACTTGCACAAAATGTGCTCAAAAAGGTGGTGCAGGAAGGAAGAAGGGAGGGAAGAAGGAGGGAGAGATGGAAGAATGGAGGGAGGGAATGATGAACGAAGGACTTAAAGGTAGGAAAGGGATAATCTGGGAAGAAAGGAGTGGGCATGAGTTGGAGAGGGAGAGAGATGGTAGTAAGTGGAAGGAATATAAACACTGCATAGTATACAAGTTTGGAATAGTAAAAGAAATTAAAAATAAAGAAAAATGAGTTTAATTTAAGGAGCTGTCCTGGGTTATTCTGTTAAAGGGAAATGTTAAGGAAGAAGTCTTGGCTGAAGCCCACTCAGAGGTAAATGGCATCTATTCCAAGAACAGAACTGAGACAGATGTGGACAGCAGAGGACATTTCAGAGATACCAAGGAGTGACTGTTGAGAGATCTGCTCATACAGAGTGTCCTGCTGAATGACATGAAGGCACTCGGAAGCAAATGCCGTCATCTAAAATTACCTTAATGTGACCTATTTCCCAACCTCCCCCTCTTACTATTACTTTCTTATAAATGCTTTGTTCTTTAAGTTAACATTTTCATTTTCCTCGTTTTATTTGAAGAGTTTCTCTTTTTATAAGCAAAGAAGGAGCAGGTGGTAACAATTGTAAATATAATATATGTTAGGATAGGTAAATGAAAAATGCTAAGTTCACCCAGCATTACTCACTGTCAATTTTTTATTTGTTTGAATATCCATGTGATTGTGTGTGAAGCCATGTGCATATTTGTTTAAATCACATGCACTCCAATTATGCAGGCAGAAATAAAAGGAAGGTTATATGACACACTTTATACTGTGTGTTTCGAAAAATTAAGAGGCATCAAATCAAAACTTATTTTAACTCAAAGATTAAAATTTTAAGTATTTATCATAAAATGTGGGAGGTTATACAATTATCTGCTATTCCTGACAAATAATATGCTATCAATTTTAGAGAGACTTGAGGTGTAGCTTAGTTAGTCATACAGCATTTGCCAAGCAAACATGAAGCCTAGGACTCAATACTCAGCACCCTCCTGACATTCATACATTTAATTTAGTATGTATAAGTATTTAAGGAAATCATGGCTTTCATGAATGTGAAGGCCAGTAGGTTTTATACTGTAAAACAAAATAAACTATTTAATTAAAACAGCAAATTATAAATGAGGAACAGTGGAATGAGAAGCCATGGATAATGAAATGACAAAGTTCACTCTCTATACTGCAGGAAGGTTTGATGAAGGTTTGAAAAGTCATTGTTGTCTAAAGAGATAGTGGAAAGATATACAAAACAAAAGACAAAAAAAAAAAGAAAAAACTGGACATGTTATCAGCCTCACTAATTAAAGAGGCAGAATTTAAAACAACAGTGGGGTGAGAATTCACCCTACCATCAAAGGTTAAAATGAGAAAGACCACTGTCAGCCTAGTCTTAAGCAAGAAGGTGCTCATACACTGTTTTCATAGGACCATGAATTAGCACAGCCTTGCTGAACAGAGCAGAGCAGACATCTCCATCCTAGGGAGGATGGAAAAAAAAAACATGGAAAAGTTACTTGTATAGTTTTGCCACATACTATAATAAAACAGCACATAGGTGAAAAACACTCCAAAGAGAGGACATAAATAATCCCGAAAATATTATTGTTACTATGTCTACAAATTATGTGATAATGCAAAGCAAAAGCACAAATTAAAATGCTTCTTGAGTAAGACTATATTAATATAATACTTACATAATAAAGGTATTTATATAATAATGATACCCATACAATAAACATGATATCTTCCACAATAAAGTAGAAACCAGCAGAATCTTGGAATTAACATGAATTTGATGACAAAGTCTTCATTTCTTTGACCTATTTAGAAATAATTTTTGCTGTTAAACATACATGAAATTGATATGTACAGTTTTTATTAATTTTTATTTAAATTAAAACAATCTTATTTTACATACCAATCCCAGCTCCCTCTCCCTCCCCATCCTCCCATTCTCCCTACAAATCCCCCATCTCATCCTCTATCCACTCCCCATGAGAGTGAGGCCTCCCATGGAGGATCATCAAAGTCTTTCACAACATTTGGGGCAGGACCTAGGCCCTCCCCATGTATCTAGGCTGAGAGAGTATCCCTCCATAGGGAATGGGCTCCAAAATCTCATTTATGCACTAGGGATAAATACCGGTTCCACTGCCAGAGGTCCCATAGACTATCCAGCCCCCCCCCCAACTGACACCTACATTCAGAGAGCCTGATTCAGTCCTATGTTGGTTTCCTAACTGTCAGACTGGAGTCCATGAGTTCCCCCTTGTTCAGGTAGCTGCTTCTGGGGGTTTCCCCAGCATGGTCTTGGTCCCTTTGCTCATCATTCCACCCTCTCTACAAGTGGATTCTAAGAGGTCGGCTCAGTGTTTAGCTATGAATCTCTGCTTCTGTTTCCATCAGCTACTGGATGAAGACTCTATGATGGGATTTAAGATAGTAATCTTATTACAGATTTGTACAATTTTAAACACATTTTCCTATATGAACAACTAAGATTGGCATATAGTTCATCTCATAAGTTACTCTACCATCACCATTCTAAAACTGCTGAAATTTGGAAAAGAAATTCCTACAGCTTAATTATTGCGGTGAAATCTATGCTGCTCTATCTAGATGTTCCCTTCTCAATGAGGAAACTTTTATCTGATGAGGGAGTTGGCAGCCAACTCTTGACCCCAGGTCTTTCTAAGATTTTTCCTCCACTGAGAAAAGCTCCCCTGCCCAAGTTTACAACCCTTTCCTGGGTTCAATGATAGGAGACAGGGTGTAAGGCAGGCTCTCTTGCCTCCTGAAGGGGAGATCTGAAGTGTAGTTCCTGTGAAAGGCTCTTTCCCTAGGAGTCACTCTAGTGACTCCATCACTCTTTCTTTGTTTGTTTGTTTTGTCTTTGGTGGTGGATTTGCATTTTGTTGCTATTTTGTTTTATCTTAGATGTTGCTGAGATAGGGTCCCACTATGGCATTCAAGCTTGCCTCAAACTCACTTTGTAACTAAGACTGACCTCAAACTCATAGTGACCTTTCTGCCCCAGCATTCCACAAACTGAGATTACCAGTGTGCTCCATCTCCCCCAGCTTGTACCACTTTGTCCAGCCACCAACACTTGAGCCTCCATTAAGACACCATTTTTCCAATTCTTCCATGAAATCGGTCATCCATCCACTTGATAGCAAACCAGTTACACCAGAAGGATCTGTGGTTTATTTTGACTAGAACTAACAATAATCTGACTATTGATCTACCTTTTCTGCCCTCCGGAACCCAGCCCTCACCATATCTAAACAAATATGGAGTATCTGATCCATCACCACAGAATTCGGCATAAATATTTTATCAGACTCAGAAAACTGCAGCAGAGTAAATCATCAGTGTATATAACAATGGGCTAACTGTTCTTATTCCATTCAGCTTCTGTTGCCAGAGTTGTACCCTGGTGGTGAGGATGTAACGGCCTTTTCAAGGTCCAGCTAAAGTGCTACTGCATAGTTGATACTCACTAAAGACGGAGTGGCACCTTTCAGAATGCAGCATGGACCCTAAATCTACAAAGATAATACCAGCATGTGTCTCAATAAGGTAGATGGCATTCCTGAGAAACAGTGCCTGAAGCTGTCTTGTGGCCTACACACACACACACACACACACACACACACACACACACACACACACACAGGTTCACATAGAACCCTGGAAAGTCTGAATGGAGGCACCAAGTGCCTTTGAAGATGGGCTTGGGGCGCATGCAGAAGGAGATTGATGGCAAGTGTTCATAGTAGCTGCTTAGATCCCAGATCTTCTTCTCAACACAGCAAACCAGATGACAACGGTCCATCTTCCAGGATACCTCACAGCCTCTTTGCCCTCACAGGCTTTCATGTTAAGATGCAATGGCCTCAGAGGAAGTTGTCCAGGAAGCGGGAATCCTCAAACCTTCCAATTTTCCCCAAATAAGGGACAGCTAGAAGGCAGTTGAAGTCATCTCATTGCAAAGTTCCTGTTACAAACCATGAGAAAACACTAAAAAACTGTTGTTTAGTGGATCAAAATGTTCAGTGTTTGGGTCTTCTATACAAATCTCCCAAGTGGCAGGTTTGGGTTTTCAGTGAGTTTTAGGTTATTACTATTATTTTAACTTCTTTTTTGTATATTTGGGTTTCATATAATGCATTCCTCCACTCCAATTGCCTCTGCTGTGACTAAAGAAGAATAAAAGAACTTAAGAAAAAAAGAAGAAGAAGAAGAAGAGAGCACCATTTAAAGCAAACTAAGGACAGATGGACATCAGGGAAGTTTCGAAGAACCAGAGAAGGCTGTTGTGAAATAAAAGTAGAGTCGGGCAATGGTGCCTCACACTTTAATCCCAGCACTTGGAAGACATAAGCAGGAGACCTCTGTGAGTTTGCCGCCAGCCTGGTCTATATAGTTCCAAGACAGCCAGAGCTATATAATGAGAGTCTGTCTTTAAAAAAATAAAAATTTTAAAATAAAATAAAAGTGTTATGGCAGAAATTTAAATTTAATAGAAGTGTTAGAAGAAAAAAATTAGGAAATCACTGGGGTGAAGGGGGTTAAAGGAGTAGAGGCAAGTAAGGTCGACGATCAATGTGCAAGATCCAATAAAGGAATCGGGAACTGGGGGAAGGGAGTAGCAGGGGAGATGGGAATTAGGAATACTCGGAGACTAGAAAAAAAATCTATCAGAAATTAAAGCACGTTGGCAGGAATTTTTAATTAAATACAAAAACCAGAAGAAAAAAAGTGTGGAAACCTTAGACAAGATGCAATAGAGCAAAGAACTAATGCAGAAGGAATCCACAAGAGGATGTTTAAAAAAAATTCATGCCTTTAATCCCAGCACTCGGGAGGCAGAGGCAGGCGGATCTCTATGAGTTCGAGGCCAGCCTGGACCGACAGCCTCCAAAACAATACAGAGAAATCCTGTCTCATAAAACCACACACACACACAAAAAAAAAATTCAGGAGAAAGGAACTCTCAGACAGCTGGATGACTGACTAGAAACAACTGTCCCTACCCAGAGCAGGACCAGTGAAAGAGTCCATACAGACGTCCAAAACCACTGTCTGTGAGAGGCTGAGATGGATAGCATTAACACAAGCATTGGGGAGCAGAAATCCATGCAGGAAAACTGAAGTTTAAAAAACTTAAGCAAAGAGCTCTTTCCTTTCGCTGCTGCGGCCGCAGCCATGAGTATGCTCAGGCTACAGAAGAGGCTTGCCTCTAGCGTCCTCCGCTGTGGTCAAAAGAAGGTCTGGCTGGACCCCAATGAGACCAATGAAATAGCCAATGCCAACTCCCGTCAGCAGATACGGAAGCTGATCAAAGATGGGCTGATCATTCGGAAGCCCGTGACTGTCCATTCCCTGGCCCGGTGCCGGAAAAACACTTTGGCTCGAAGGAAGAGCAGGCATATGGGCATAGGCCGGGGAAGGGTACTGCCAATGCCAGAATGCCCAAGAAGGTGACCTGGATGCGAAGGAT